CAAAACACCCTCAGACCCCAGAGGGTTAAAGAGCCAGAACACTATAAACCAAATTGTAAAATGGTCCATCCCCTGTATTATGAATTCCAGCATCATCTGTCTAATAAACGGTTTAGAGTACCGCAGTGTACAACAAAAGGGTACAAGAACAGCTTGGTCCCAGAAGTGATTAATAATATGAACATTAATAAGATGAAGTAATGGGTTTGTTATAATATATTAGTGTTGTTTTTCTAGTTTTGTCTATTGTATTGTCTATGATATGTATGAGAAACAGCCTGAATTTGTTCCCTGAAACCTAATTTACCGACAGGTATAAAATAAAGGAACCTGAACCTGAACTTTCTGAAGAGTGCAGAGGCTGAAAAACAAATGGCAGCAATGATGGAGAACTATAAGGAGATGAAAGAAGATTTAACAAAGGCATTAGCTAAAATGAAGGAGCTTGGGCACACCAGCAGACTCTTGATGACCTTCAGGCAGAGGAAGACAAAGTCAACACTCTGACTAAATCGAAGACAAAGCTTGAGCAGCAAGTGGACGATGTAAGATGTTTGGCATAGGAATGAGACCATGAATCAATAAGAAATCAAATGTATTGGTCTATACCAGATTTTAATGCTCCAGTTTCTGTAACAATAGCTTGAGGGCTCATTGGAGCAAGAGAAGAAGCTCCGTATGGACCTTGAGAGAGTCAAGAGGAAGCTTGAGGGTGATCTGAAACTGGCCCAGGAGTCCATAATGGACCTGGAGAATGACAAACAGCAATCAGATGAGAAGATCAAAAAGTGAGTGGTCATCAGATTTTGAACTTTCCACAATTACATGATCCAAACCATTGTATAGGTGGTAGACTGTTTAAAAACCCAAAATATGCTGCCTTATAGGCCAAGAATGCTCTGGCCCATGCGTAAGGAAAACAATTACAATTACACATGAAAATACAATAAAGAATAGTGAAATGCAGTAAACAAATTCAAACAAAATCATGGAAACATATAAAATTCTTTTGGTTTCATAGTTTATATCTCACAATGGTGTGACGAGGTCTAGAACAGTAGCGCCGTTAAACATGTGGATAAAAGCAAGATATCTAGCAATTTTAGGTATACTTTACCAGGGCTTGGTCTGGTGTGTGAAAGAGTTAGAACAAGCATTTGTGTATGTGTTGTTAGGCTATATTAAATTTACTTATTGTCACTATAAAGATTTGTATGTTTATATTCATTTCAAAGCATTTATGAACACTGTTAC